TCTTCCCAACTTACTTCATTCTTTTACAATTTTCAACGTTCCTATCCAGTTTAGCAGAAGTTAATTGATTTTAGTTGTTCAAGGACTGCAGAAAATTGTTTTTAAATGAATAAAAGTAATTCGAATAGTTTCGTTAACCACAGAATTGTATTTGCTGATATGCTGCTCAGGCACTTACGTTGCTGAGAATTATACTTACAGAAATATCAAAGTCAAACAAAATATGCTTATATTATACACAAAAGTTTAGGTTAAATAGAAATTCTTTTTATTACTTGAGCAAATGCTTTAATTAATTCATCCGAAACTAGAAATTAGGTGCTCATAAGATAGGATTTGCATTTCAAATAAGATGCTAAATAGAAACTAAAAATAGCAGATACCAATATGAAATACATATTACCTAATCTGCTGATCTGGTCGAAGCTCTAAAATACAAAAATATGCTGAATAAACATAATTTTACGTTATGGTTTAAAAATATTTTATAAATTTACTTTATAGTGGATGAGAGGAAGCAATCTGTATTAAACTGTATAATCAAGGAAGATAAATTGTACTTTGGTGTAGAAAGATAAGTTACGTTCTATAATAAAGTTCCACTTTACTGCCGACGGAAGGAAGAAATTTGCAGTTAGTTATAAATTGGTAAACACAGCTTTACCTTGCGGTACGATACAAATTATGTTTGAAAGTAAAATTTCACTTTATACTTCATTGAGTCAATACAACGAAAGAAATCTGCTTCACATTTATACTGCACAGTTAGTGATCATAATATTTTTAGAGTATATTTCACCCTTGGAGTAGATGGAAGAATCTGCAAAACAATATATGACTATGTTGCATAACATACATATGTCACGGTACGAACTACCGTGAAGAAATAGCTATCTAAATTTGGTTAATATAATATAGTGATATTATATTAAAACTAGTTACTTGCTATAAGAATTACTCTAATTATAAATGTGTTACAGTATATTTAATGCTGTGCTGTAATGTGCACTGAAATGATTCTGTGAATGGACATATTGTAGTCCGACTGTGAAAAACTAGTTATCTCACCTAAGTATTTTTATAAGATGGCTTGTGAATGTTAGCTGCTGTAGAAGGGTATATAAGCCCGTCAGATAGTTGAATAAAGCAGTTCTCAATTGTCTAGTTGAGTTTAACGTAGAATCAAAGGCGTCTAAATTCTTGTGAGGTAATTAAGGGATACTGAATTCCGGAAGACTATAGTAATTTAGAGATTTGTTTTACGTTATCCTTGTCACGAAGCTGGTTTGTGACAACATAATATGACTTTGAAGTATGAAGGCAAAATCAATACAGCATGCAAAGCAATATAGTTTAACTTTACAGTCAATAAGATTAATTATGCTTGAAAGTAAAATTTTGATTTTACACTTCATTGGGTCAAGACAAGGAAGCAATCTCCTTTATATTTATACTAAACAATCAGTGAAAATATATTGATAATTTTTCAATGTTTGAAAGTACCTCATGCTTCAAAGTATATTTTATCCTCCGAGTGGATGAAAGTATCTGCAAAGCAATGATGAGTTATGATAACTTAAAGTATATTTAAAATAACTTCAAATTGAGAAAGTAAAATCAATATAGCATGGAAAGCAATATTTTACTCTACAGTCTATGCCGGAAATGGAGACTGTAATATTAAATAATCAATTCTCTTAGTCTAAGGATATAAGGTAAATATTAACGGAATCAATATTGTATGTCGACGTCCAGAAAGGAATACTCGGTAATGCCTTGATAGATAGATATTTCATAAATTACCGCAATTAATGGTATAGTTATCTATTATTACTCTGGTTAAGGTTGAAATCTAACAGATTTCGTTCATCTTAAGGAAGTAAATAGAAGGAATAGAAATTAAAAACATAACTGAACTGAACGTTTCCTTTCCTAGAGTGTTAACTCTCTAGTTGAACGGATTATAATCATTATTACCAAACTCAATAGAAAGGCTTTTTATTAATAGTAGTAGTTGTAATATCATGATCAGTAGGCTTCTGAAAATTTGTTTTATTGCAGAACGGCGTACGTCCATAAAGTAGATAATTTATATCGAAAATTTTTCTTGAATTCTTGTTAATATTTGTAGAGTTATAGATGTCTTGTTTTAATGTATAATGATAGGCAATGGACTGCCAGGTCTTTATGAGCTTTCTAATGGTTCTGTAGAACTAACTGCACTTATATGATTGAAGAAGTTCTACAAGGATGTTAATTAATGGTTACTCTACTCGAACTTCCTTCGAAGTTGTAGATCCACTTTATAGTTTATTAAACTTTGATGCCGGACTATGAATCATCATCATTTTATGTAACAGACTAGAAAAGAGCATACTTTATTGTAGACTGGCTGTCTTTTCTCACTTAGGCTCAATAAAAATCCTACTCTACAATTTTATATACATTTTTACATGCTTGACATATTTAGGATAGGAAATAGGATTAGTCGGTAACATTTTGGAAGTATTTATGCGTATTTTTCGCTGTGTACTGACTCCCATCATCTCTAACTTGTTGGCTATGCTTGATGACTTTTAAGTTCCATTGCCTAGTCGATCCTCTTATCAAGGAGAAGATTGTTGGGCTAGCTAATCGCTAAGACTCTTCTTGATTTAAACATAACAAGCAGTGAAAGATTATTCCTTTGGTATGCTAATAATCAGTCAATCTTGTCTTACTCATAGCTAATGACAAGATATAAACCATCCTCATTGAAGAGGTAAGCCATTTGTTCACAAAAGTAAATAGAATCTTTACAATAACAGAACATCTGATATGAGTAAATAGAAAGTTAGTGCTCTTGCATAATACCTTTCATATCTGGTAAAAAATTCTTCATAGATTGGTAAATATTATTTTTAGACATTATATGCCACCTTAACTATACCGTAGTATATAGCATGTAACGGATGATGTTTGGAATAATTATCAGCCTATCATAACAGCAAAAAAATACACATAATAAAGAGATATAATATTCTTGATTGCTGTCAGTGTTATAAAAAACTCTGTAAGGCTAAAGCGTGGAAAAACGTGATGATTGAATTGAATTGAGTAGGCAGAGTAGAACAGAACAGACACAGCGAATAACTTAACGAAAACACGGGTAAGTCGCAGAACTAACTAACAAAAATAAATGATTGAGAATTGTTTTAGAATATAGAATACATAGTAGAAGAGAGTTATATAGAAATGAGAAAGAAAAAGCAGGTAGTGTACTATCATGTGCTACGCTCTACGATCAAAGAACTTCATATGAATGGGAATATAGGAATATTATCCGAGCTTGATCACACTGATTTCATCAACATCTTATAACATGAACTGATAATGCAATTATTCACTATTAAATGCAGGATTAAAAATCGCAGCTATGAATATTTTTATATACTCTTAGCGACTGTCAATCTCATAAATAGATTCAAACTATATATATGGAAAATCACCTAGGAAATCAAGTTATTCTCGTTAACACTGTTCCTAGCTTAGAGCTCATAACACAAGTAAGTATGCAAACAAGTTATCCTACATTATTCTACCTTTTTCTACTTCTCGTGGCTGAAAACGCCGCTTTGAGGTCTTAATATGAAATATACAATTATATCCTCAGTATGAAGCATACTAAGAATAGTTTCTACTAAATTTAGCGATAATAAGGTACATAGCCAACTACATATAAGTATCTAAATATGCTCGATGTGAGGACAAACCTCTACTTTATTACATTTTAATTGCTGAGCTAAAAGGTATAAGCTTTACGATACCAACACTATCGCAACAGTATTCTATCTTTTAAGCTGTAAATGCTGCTCATTTCCACTCTAGAACTCAATAAATATTATGGCGGTAACGCTAATAACGCTCTAATGCTATCGTTCTTCTAAAGGCCTGCTTGTAGCTCTAAATGTACTTATCGTTGAGTTCTAAGATTTATAATCTATAATCAAGAATCCATTTCTTCTAAGTAATTTATGTTAACCTGTGTGTGGCAACTATTTCCGGTTGAGTGTCGACTCATTAAACCCTCTATTACTTTCTCACTTCCCATTGCTAATTGAGGATGGCGGCTGCTATATCTGTATTCAGTTTTCTGATAGATCTATCCATCTTCTTAGCAGGGATAATAATTTCATTGGTGCCTTTATTTACGTTTTTTCTTGCTCTTGACTTTTATTTTAAGACGTGGACTATCGCAATGTTTACCGACATAGAGAGAAATAACATAGTATAATTATTTTATTACACTTATTTCTAACTGAGGGTGGTGACTCTTATGTCTGCGCGATTCTCAGTTGGATCTATCCATCTTTTCGGCAGAGATAACAGTTTTAGTAGTGCCTTTCTTTACGTTTCTTTCTTGCTCCTTTCTCTCAATTAAGATGAACACTACTCAACTTAAACAATGGTAGAGAGAAATAATTGAACATAATTATTTTATTACATACACCACTAATAGTAGGAACACTACATATTCAAATGCTATAAAGCGATAAAATAACATCTAATCGCAAATATTATACGCAATTTAAGATACGTACTACATAATTATTAACCTTTGCTGAAAGTGGTTTACCGTCGTAGACAGAAATAATAGAACATAATTCTTCATTACACACATCACAGATAGTAGGAAAACTACATTTTCTTATGCTTTATAGCGATAATATAACATCTACAAGCAAATGTCATACCCAATTTAAGGTACTCACTACATAGGCATTTAAACTTTACTGAAAGTTATCTGTAACATGTTACAAATTAGTTAAAATTGAAAAGAATTTAATATACGTTAACTACAATTTTGCGAGAAGATCATGAAAATAAGTTCCATGTATTCTTTAATTTCTCTTTTATAACAATATCAGTAATATAGTGATAATAGTAGATACTGAAGGGCTATCATCAGCGATTTGAAGATTATTTTCACCAGCCTAAAAGGACTTGGATATCTGGCATTACTACTTCATTTGCTGCATACGAGTTTGGTAGAACTGCCAATGGCGTAATCGATTGAGTAAAACATCATTTTCAGCTGATAACTTAGCAATTTCAGCTTCTAGTTCTATTAGATAGGCAGCCAGAAACTCTTCTTTTATCTTAATGGTATTTTGCTCCCACATTGAAGTGAAACAAGACTCATCGTCAATGGTATCATCGCTAATTTTATGATCGGTTGAATTGATGCTTGCTTTAGGGGATAACTGCGATAGTGGTTGTAAGATTTTCTTAACTGGTTTTTCGATAGGCATCATCGCAAATTTAGAATAATCGATCTAGATCAAAACAATTTCATTTCAAGTTAGCTGATCAATAGATTCAAGATATGACGTAAAAAATATGAAATTTAATAAATTAAATTATTTTCATTGAAATGAAACAACTAATAATAAGGACAACTAGTACCATTGAAGATAGCCATAAGGTTTAGAAATGAAAACCATGAAAGGTTTCAATAAAAATTTAAAATATTATTTTAATTTGACTAGAGGCTATTACTTTATGAAAATCATGCAATGATCATTAAAAATATAATATAATGTCGTTTGCGAAATAAGATTTTATGCCAAGACTTTTAAGGAAATAGTAACTGATATCTAAACATTTATTCCAATGCTTCCCTACATACCTTCTTTTTTATGGATGGCAATCTCGCTGATGTATTTTGATTCAAAGTAGCAAAATTACTTTGTGGTAATCCATTGGATTCCATCCATACTGGATTAGTGTTCGGTATCACAGATAGATTATGATTAGTGGTCATCATTTTTCGTCACTTACTTGGATTCTTAGTTCAATTGGCTTATAATATCATACGGAAAGTAAATTTCTTAAGATAGAGGGGATTGTGATTACGCTTAGATCCAGTTTGCAAGGTTGGTCGTTAAATTAGATAACCCTGTCTACTTGGAATCGATTAAGGCACTAAGTTAAAGCATCCCATCTATGTCACAATTAACTTATCAGCGATTGTTCAGGAAGAGGAATCGAAAAGTTTAATGGTTAAGTAAATGTTGATTTCTATTTATATACGTACGTTGCCCGGTACTACCACATGTTTATTCTCATTTAATGCAGCTACAGCGGAAATAAAACTACTGTACATCAGGAAAGAAAGTAATTCCTGTCAACGCAATGCTATCTTAATTTATAGGCAACATCATAGATTGCTTGAAGAAACTGTTGGAAAATTTCTTTCCGGTGATTCAAGTCTTTGAATATCGGTACCTTACTTATTCATAACGGCTCAATCAATAAGGATATAAAATTTAAACTGCGTCAAATGTATGTGTTAAGCCAGAAATAGTATCAATTTGAGCTATGTTATATCTACATTTTGAATGAGAAATAACATACGAGTTCAACTGCATTAATAAAAATATTCGACCGGAAATAAGAAATTTAAACTGCGTCAAATCTGATTATCCCACCACGGGTAGCATAGAATATTAAACTGAGTCATATTTGTACATATTACTAGAAATAGTATACACTCTTATATCTAAGTATTTTGTCAGAAATATCATTTAAAAGTAAAGCTGCCTAATCGAAATATTCAATTATAATAGCACAAGAAATTAAACAGCGTTAAATTTATCAGGAATGGCATACATTAGTATATTGTTAAGCTGCATCCAATTTAAATATTCTGTCAGAAATATCATTCCAAATTAAAGCTGCGTAATCAAAATATTCAATTATTAATAGTATCAAAATTTAAAATACATTAAATTGAAATATTAGCTAGAAATGAGGACTTCCTGCATGAATATCTAACGATCCTCATTGTAAATCGGCAAAAATAATTTTACTAAATATTCTTTCTTTCTTTATTTGTTGATTGAATTACTTTATTCATGATTGCAATTGTGGTTTCGTATTGATTCTACCCAATATATCTGTATTGCAGCATTCTTATAGCGGCAATTCAATACCGTATTTGTACGCAATAAAATAATCATTGATTGATTTATATTTTACATAAAAAACAAATTCGACAACAGATACTTTTGAAGGTATAAGACAAACTCTCATTTGGCGTTAAAAGCTAAGAGTAGGGCCAAAAATTGCAATTAGATAACGATCTTGAATACATTTGCACCACGATATGCAACATTTAATTTTTTAATTGACAGTTATTAGAACAAGTCGAAAATTAAATGTTGATTAATTGGATAGTAGCCTTTGGTGAATATGGATAGACTCAGAGAATATGTTTATCTATGCTACTGTTTGCTTCCATTGACACAAAAAATAGAAATTTCATGTCTTTGAGAATCATCCAGGAAATGCTTTACTCTTTCTCAACAAATACCTTCGATAAAGTACCATATAAATTGGCTGTAATGAAAGGCTTTAGACTTTGGAAGCATGAGTTCTATGTAGATACCGAATAAGATGTTCTTATTCATACAAAAATTTGTGTCATTTTAGTTGAAATTATTGTTTTTACGTTCATTTGAGCTTTACGAGATTTTACGGATGCAAAATTGTCATTAACTGTATATATTAAAAGATCCCATAGCAGTCAAATAGAATTACAATTATTTGATAGCCACCCATACTTGTTAGCTACATGGACAGGTGCTGTATGTATCCTAAGCATAAATGAAGTTCCATGAGATAGTTATTCGCATAATAATCTTCTCTTTCCATTATTCAATTTTTAAAATTTAAATGATAGTAGTTGAAGTATTAATATCAAGACTAGGATTTACAGACGATTAAAGGTGACATAGCAGGTAATCTATAGAAAACAAATAAGCGATTATAATAGACTTAGGTTTTACTTTGTAAGTAATAGAAATGACATGAATTCATTGATTTCGCTATTGATTAATTAAATTTCAATCTGCAGCTTCTCATCTATTAGTAGATTCAACTCAGCAATTACCAAACAACATCATTATTATAGTGTAAAGAAGCTAGGATGTTTTCATCAACTTAGAGATATATAATATTATCACCACTGTCTAAGTGGCATAAACTATCTACAACTGCCCTCGTAGATATACTCAAAAGATCAGTCGCTAAAAATACAATTTGCTTTAGGTTACGACATTATTTTAGTAGTTCTCACTGGCAGTCTATAACAAAAAAGAAAAAGTAATAGCAAGCAACAATAACTAGCTTTTCTGCTTAGACTTAAAATAAGATAGCATAAAGCAAGTGAACAGCAGACATCCAATCAAAGGAGGGCAACGCAGCTAAAGCATTACAAACATAACAGATTGTTACTTGGTCAAACCGTATTATTAACTTAAGTACTATAAGATATTATGACAAGTTAAAATATAGCTCATGGTATGATCTAAGCAAGAATTCCTACCTGAACACGTATCTTCTTTACTGTCATTTAATATTATTGACAGAATTCATATTATACCAACTTAATGACTCATTCGAGATACATATCTTAAATTACAAATATAACGGTAGCCCGTCATTGTCCAACAGACCTTTAATACCAATAAATATAATGCGATGATCAGTATGAGAGAACTACTGTAACACAAGCTGAAAATTGGAAACGTAGTTCCGTAACAAATATATACATATAATCAAAGCTGTCACAGTTTTACAATACTGCAATATTGCTTGCACTGTAGTCTTTTCAAGTTAATGTAGATTACGAGTATGCAGCTTTGGTTTCCTCCTTCATGTAATCAGAATATCTTCTTTATCTAAAAGCGGTTTTTTAAATCAGAGCTCCATTTGGTGCTAGAAAATAGCGTTTCTTTGTTAACAGTTGCTATGGAAATCAAAACCGAGAAATTAGAGAATAAATTATAATGTATGTTAGAAATGTATACCGCTACACAAATTGATATCGAATTTATTTCGGTCGTATCAGTCTACAAAGTAATATACTTGTATGAATCCTTGATGTTAAACTGATGTTCTATTTTTGTATCAAAGTAGAGATAATGTCGCAATTGTCAATCATCGAAGTACTATTTCCGTACAAAAAACCTTTCCCATAAGGATCATTATTTAGTCAATCTATTTACTATATGCTGATGACAAAATTTTCAACTTTTACATGAAAGACTAGAAAAGTAAATTGTGATATCCGATTTTCAGGATTGAATTTGCATAAGACCGAAGAATAGCTAATCATTATCGGTGCAAATTTCTACATTAGCGTGTAGGGAATTTACAACAATTGCCGATTTTGGAATTGTAATCTATACATGGCTGAAAACTAACTGAAACTAATTTCTACATGGCGGATGTTTTTGTGTAAAGATTTCACAAGCATCCTATAGGCTTGGAAAGCAACTGATGAATACATTTGCGATTTCCGCATAAATGGGTAGAAAATTTATTTACAAGTATTCATAGGTATATGATTGAAATGACCGTTAACTAGTCGCTATTGTATATCTTCAATATCTATAGTATATTACTGGCTAAAAAATCTATTCGACTTCTGATTATTCCAACAGTACTTTATAAATGAAAATTACCAGGGAAACTATTATAGTTTATACATTAAAGAGCAACCGATGATTGCGTCTTTCAATTTCTGATGAACAGGTAGAAAAGTTCTCGCCTTTGTATGTCAGATAAAATGTCTTATAAGAGGAGTTTATTCTACTCAATTTTTGAAACCTGGGCAACGCTTCTTTTTTCAGCTTCTGCACAAACGGTTGAAAAATATGTCGCTACTGTATTTTTTATATAAAAGACTTTCAAGTACGGGTATTCTAGTCAATTTATCAAAGAGCAACCGGCGATTGTGTTTTCAGTTTGCTAATAAGCGTGCGGGAAATCTACTGCTATTACATCTTATATGCAAAGAACCTCTCTAGGGCTATTCCTGTTTATAAATACGTTAAAGAATATCGTAGTCGGTGAATGTATAATTTTACTTTTATAAAAAAGAGTGAGAAATCTATCGCAATATTTTTCTGCATATAGACCTTAACAAGTAGAGCTACTTTAGTCAACATTTTATAGACTAATCAGTAATTGTGCTTCAATTTTACTCTAGTCAACATAATAAAGGCTGGCCGATGATTCTCTTTTCAAGTTCTATATTAACCAGGGAAGAATGAATTGAAATTATATTTTTGCACCCTAGTCCTTGCGAGTATGTCATTGCTAATTTTCATCTTAAAGAATACCCAAAGATAACTCTTTCTCCATTTTTGTATAGAAAAGATGACAAATCTATCACTATTATGAATTAGCGTGACAACAAGTATACTTTTATGTACTGCTATAAAACTTTGCATAGACAACTATTGTAGTAGATTCAAAAAGAGTAACCGATAATTGTATTTAATGTTAAGGTAATGATTTCCAACAAAACATCAAAATAATATTTGATTCAAAATAGTAACCTGATAAACAGTAATTTTCATACTTCAAGCATTATTTATAACAAATATCCAGTCTTTTGATCAAAATTCTGAGTAACTAATAAAATTGATCAGATTGAAAGATTGCTGAAATCAGGATTTTAAAGATATCAAATGCTGAATTAGATAAATAATAGTATTCTGCTGTAGTGAAGCTGTTAGATAAGCTATTGTTGTCAACATATTATGTAGAAGTGAATTAGATATCACTTAAAAATAATACCAAAACCTAGGGCAGTTGACAATAATAGGTATATATAAGTAATGTTTGTGATAATTCAAGTATGTTGATTTCAGCTTCGTAGAATGTGATACTAATTATAGAATCTTATTTTCTTACTAAGTTCTGTAAGGATGGAATTATGTTTTTCGCTATTGTTATTTTTGTAAGCAAGTTAGATAATGTATGTAAGTAGCTACGCTTTCCTGTCATTGTTGTTCTAAATCCTTCTTTTCTAAGATCTGCTGCTATAGGAAGTTTTCCTTGTCTGCCAGAGTTCTTGTACCATTACGCAATATCACAATCGATAGAGAATCAGTAATAAAATCTGTTGTTATAAAATTACTTGTTTGATTTATACTCTTATTACAGTTAGTAGAACAGGTTTTGTTACAACTGTCCTATGGTATTTGTAGGCTCAAGGTGTTACAAAGAGTAGCCGATGGCTATATTTAATATTAAGATAATTAATCCCAATGAAATATATCACACAATATTTGATTCGTAATAGCAATCATGTATATATATACACACCAATCTTCATACTTTAAATATTATTTATAACTAATAAATATCTAGTCTGTCGATCAACGGTATAATTAATAAAAGTAATCGAAAATGAAAGATTGCTGAAATAAGGCTTATCAGTAGGCAATAAAATATCGATGCAGATAATAATAATATTCTGTTGTGTTATGTTCATGTATTCTAGATCCTGGTTTATTAGTATCTGTTGCTCGATAAGATGTGTATATAAAAAATACTGTAGTAGAATAAAGAATCTGATCTGTTACTGATAATAATCATTTGTAATTTATAGTAAGTTAATATCAGAAAAATTATTAGCTTCGTAATTTGCTATATAAGATTTATGAATGGATGCTTTATCCTAGATATTTAATATACAGTACATCAATAACGCGCTATCATTAATATATTGAGCACATATACCAACAACTACTAGTTAAGATAATTATTTCTAACTCTAATATCCGAGAAATAATTAGCTTCATAATTTACTATATAAGATTTATGAATAGATACTCTATCCTAGACGTTTAATTATACGTCAATAACACGCTATGATCAATATGTTGAGCAATAGACTAACAATTGTTAGTCGAAGTAACTACTTTTATCTGTAACATGCGAGGAATAATTAGCTTTGTAAGTTACTGCAAAAGATTCATGAATGGATAATCTATCTTAAATATTTAACTATACATCAATAACATGCTACGATCAATATATTGAGCACGTCAGTAACAACTGCTGATTGAGATAATTCATTTAACTTTAACATACGAGTAATGATTAGCTTCGTAATTTACTACAAGAGATTTATGGATGGATACTCTATCCTAGTAGACATTCAATGATACGTCAATAACGCGCTATGGTCAATAATTTGCGTATGTATACTAACAACTGCTAGCTGAGATAGTTACTTCCAACTTGTATTTATAGAAAAGCGATCATTATTTTTTAATTCTTATTAAAGTTGGCTAAATCTTCATTTATTTTTTAAAATTAAAAGAACCCGCTATGTTTCTGCATAATATTTTATCAACGCTAATATTGGAAATAATTAAATTATAAGGTAGTTAAAATTAAATAAATCTTTAATAGCTGATTTAGATAGTACAATGATACTATTGATCACAATGATATCTCTTTCTGTTATTGGTTATCGTATGTATTTGATCCTATTAGGCGATAGAACAAGACACTTTGTATGACAAGATAGTTACTTATGAAGGGATACAACTAGTGTCTTTATCATGCTAGCAATTGGATGTACAGCGCGATGAAATACTAGAACTTTCATCGTCATCTTTAAGCGGTGTATGCTCTTGGAAGCGATGGAATAAATTACGGAAATGATCAGTAACTCTTCTAAATAGTAGATAAAAGATTTGTTGCAGTCGCTGTCGAAAATATTGATTAAAAACACAAAAAAGTATAGGATTATATAAGCTTGTTAGGAGAAATGAAGTTTGCGATAGATGAACAAGATAGATGAGCACTCCTTTACTATGTTTATAAATTTTACTTAAATTTTGACGCTGAATAGTCATCCAAGCTAATACTATAGTCCAAGGCAAAGCCAGTATCATAAAAGCAATGGTAACAAGAACCGCCATCTTAATAACATCACTGATATATTTACCAGGGTGTCTCGCTCGGCGTATTTGCTGTAGGTGAGTTGGAATAGTTATATAGGGTAGTGCATAGGCTATCGTTCGTTTAAGTTCATTTTGATTATTTGGCATGATTTTTTTACTACGAAAAATCTGTGAATGGCGACGGCGATAGCGTAAACGAGTTATGAGGTATCCATAAGTATAAAACATAATAATTAACGGTACTATATATTGAGTGGTAATTATGATGCCAGCATAAACTTGATTATAAGTGGAATTCTTATATTGGATAACTTCGCATGGAAGATGCATCTGAGGCACAGCGGTAATAATCTGGATAAAAGGGATCGACATTATTATTCCAATTATCCAAGTTATAATTATTATCAAATGTATATTTTTCTTTTTGGTGACCTTTGGATGAGGATGGATTACTGCGTTATATCTTTCGATGCTCATTGCAGTTAGAGTTTGTGTTGCAGTAATATAAGTAATTAACTGGCATGGCCCAAAGAACTTGCAAACGATACGCAATGATGATATTGGCCAGTCCATGGATTCAAAGACGCCTAAAGCTATAGTATATATTAAAATTGATGCTGCACAAATGGCATCCGCAAGAGTCATATTGGCTATCAGATAATATGTTGGTTTATGTAAAGTTTTAGTCGTACGTATGGTAATTAAGATAAATAAGTTACCAATAATTGCTACGCAAGAGAATGGAAAAAAAATCCCTATAAAAATGGCGACATCATCAGTTGAATTCTTAATCGCCATGATAAATTAAGTAGCTTGATGATCCTATGCTACCGTATGTATTTGTATTAGTCAGGGTGTGAATAGTGATTTCTTTTACTTCTTTCCTTTCCTTGGCAGTTTGATCTTCAATCGACAATAGGTTATGATGAATAAGAGAAGAACATGCAGGATTTTAAGTTTTGCTATATAAATTACCTACAAATATTAAACAAGAGATTAAAATTATATAATTTTCTACTTCCTTTTCTCTTGTGAACAAAAGCTTATATCGACAATAGATCGGATAATCAAAAATAGCTAGGAAGCATTTTAAGTTTGAGAGTATAAATTACTTGCAAAATCGACTAAGAAATTAGAACTACTTTCTCTACCGCTTACTTCCTTGCAAATAAATCTCTACTCCATCAACTTTTCGTAGCCGTAAGTGATTAGGAAACGTTTTGATTACAGTATGAGTTCCAACGTGCTGATTACTAGTTTTGTAAAAATAGCTAATATCAAAAAGTAGAATGTAACAACTAATAAGTCTAAAGCTTATACTGCTATTTATATGATCTGGTCTAGATAAATCAAGCTAGGATAGTTATATTTATAAACTATATTACCAATTAGCGAACAATGACCGTATGTCTTTACTATAACTCTGTTTATTATTAGTATCAATAGAACATGGTAAATAATCTGCTGCTTCGTAAAGTAATAAATAATTTACTAAGGACTTGCAAAATAATTATAATTTCCATCGTACTCGTAAACAGAGATGATAGTGATGACAAACATTATCCAATTTATGCTAGTATAACGAGAAAGAGACGAAGATTGAAGATAAATAGTTAATAATTCGATCAAATCGTTAATTAATGTAATTTATTGTCATTATACTGTAGTTAAAATAAATAGTAACAAACATCGATTACCTTAACGGCTATTCTGTTCTCTTGAATAATTTATAATACAAAATATTACCGCTATTTCTAGCCAGAGAATTTATCCGGAAGTAAATTAATTCGAAATTTCTGTAAAGTGTGTTATACAGCTTTATCTAATTCTAAAGACGTTGATTGCCAATGACATCAGCCAGATTTCCGCTTACAGATCCCAAATCTTGAGTAAAAGATCAATCTTAAATTATTTGTTATCTTGTTGATTAAATGCTTATCGTATACGTGTATGTATATTTGTTCTTTTCTTTATAAACTTGATTTATATACAGTATTTTTTATTTGAATCATAACCTCATATTAGTAATAATCTCATGAAAGCACTCGAAACTCTTTATTTGAGTTATTAATAAAGCATTATTTCATAAATTTATTTGTATCTATTTCTTTATTGGTAAAGTGCAATAATATGCTGAATGAACTTGTAGAAAGTTGAAAATAGAATTAAGAAAGATTAATACGCTCATTTTAACGTAATATTTATCGTAAAAATAGCATAACACTGTTCATCAAATATTTGCATCATTATCAAGCCGGATATGAGCCGTAAATCATGTCTTGTGTGATGTCTATAACTAATCTAAATATACGAAGCAGACATCTTTGAGTATGAATACCAAACATGAAAATGAACTCAAGTCAAACGATAATTTTACATCTCTAGTATAGCAGAGGCTTAGATGTATTCTAAAACAGTAAAATTTATTGTTAATCTTATTAATTCAGGTAGCAAATCGCCATTGCCGTACATATGCAGTGAATTGGATCATTTCTGAGTTCAATTATCTGAAGAAAATTGATTATTTTATAAACTAAGTAAGAACGAGTCTTTGTATCATAATTACTTTTAATCAAATTATGTTTCTAAGATGGTGAGACATTACAACACTTATTTTTCAAGTTTTCAGACATGACGGTAATATCGTGGAAACAATCTTATCATAACTTACAGGGTCATGACTCTGCTAGGCGGTACGAGTCATGACAGTACAATCGAACAGTTAACAATTATTAACTTCGTATTAGCAATAATGAGAAAACTGTATCAGTTGCATTCGATGTTTCATCTTTAGTGAGACATAATCATAAGCTTTTATATATTTAATCTATAGCACTTTTTGCTAGTCAAACAGAAATGAAGACGAACACGCACTTAAATTCTACACTTGAACATCATTCGTAATTAAAATTCAAAATACCAAGGTCGCACAACTTATCTCATTGCTGCTTGGAGATTTATCGCAATAGAAAATGTTTGCTTAGCCAAAGGAGAAGTAAGATTATATTACAAGAAATTTATACAAACATTAATATACTATAAAAGCAGGACATAAAACTCATTCTACGTCATAAAATTTAAAGAAGTATAGCCTATGCGGAATTTTAAAAATTCTTAACATCTGATATATTTGATATCGATATTTTCTTTTATACAATACTGCACTACACAAATAATATCTCTTTAATTCTCAATTTCCGGAAAAATTTCAGTTATTAACGTATCCAGTAAAACATAAAGGAGCTATAAAAGAAGTGTATTTTAAAATTCATTAGCAATGCAGTGTTATCCAGTTATAATTCCTACGTGAAATAGAAAATACTGTTGAATAATTACCTGCCGGTTTAATTTGGGATACTGCAGCATTTGAAATGCAATACCGACTCCATCACGATATTTCGATTTACCAATCCATTTTGGTAGAAGGTCTACATATATAATAGTTGGTGTGGGATTCATACATAGCGTTTATAATTATTACTCTATTTGCTGTATTGCTTTTTAACGCGATTTAATGTACATTTCAAAATATAGATTCTTTACCTGGAAGAAAGCTTATAAAACGCTCAAACGCCTCAGTCTTTTTTGCCTCAATTTCAGCCTGTGTCCTATTTTAATGTCAAAATTAAAGCCGTGTCACTTAACTGAAAGATATATTGTAATCCTCACTTCCTTTATTGATATAAATTATAATATATGTTTCATCATACTTTGGAGAATCCGGAGGACCGAAGATGGCATCTAAAAAGTTTATGAATTTAGTGGTTACAACGAATGTAAGTCACGGTATTTATTCATATGACGTTGGTTAAAAATAATTATCCACATGAGATATATAATACCTTGTAACAACTTGATTATAGTTACTTGGTAATACTCATTCTCCAGCTTCGCTAACCTTACCGTTATCAACCTAGGTTAAAGCATTTATTATACCAATAAATTTGAAGCAAACGAGGGATTTTAATTCGTGGCTATCACATATTTCTACTCCTAAATGTTTATTCAGCTATAACGTAATCTATTATTAGCTTACCTATCTAGAATATTTTCTAAAAGGCTGTCTGGTAAGGCTTTCAATACTAATAAAAGAAGTTTTGATATTCCACTGGCTTTAAATACGTGATGTGCTGCATTTTTTAATCATATTAAGAAATTAGCATTAATGCCAGCTTATCGCTTACTTTATTAAATATATATAGAAAATATATCAAAACTGAGCGCACCTAAGTAGATGAAGTAATCTGTCATCTTTGTGAACGGGATTACTTTATTGTCTAAGAAAAATATGAAAGATTAGCCGGGCCATTTTGTATCTAAATCATAAAGCTCTATAGTAATAATATTACCGTCTGACTCCTTCACATCCTCGAAAGAGTGTCTGTGATAATAAATTACGGCAACGAAAGGACATTGGTATTTGTTAGACATTAAATTAAAGCCGCCAGGCAATTAATCAATATTTACTATAGTTAAAAATGATTTCACAATTATAGCAATATTTAACAGCTGCGAAGGGCTGATTTTGCCTAGCTTACATTTGTAACAGATCACATAAGTCAATTTCAGGCTCAGGAGCTAATTGAAACTGATTGATTAAAAGATATTGGTAAATGACACATAGGTAAACTGTTAATCAGAAATATTGTAATCTACTGACCTCAGGTACTTCTGTATCTTGTGATATACTTAGTCTATAACAGATGGAATAAAATATATTACGAACTGAATCGTGTATATTGCATGCTACAATTCATACACGGGTCGGCCATAATTGTTCAGCTAATGTTTTAATTGTATAACTTATGAGGTTTTCAACTGACCTCCCACTATCGTTGTCTGCTTCAATGGCCGTATGAGCGAAGTTCTGAAGGAAGATATCGATGGACTGCCCTTTCTATATGGCGTTAGTAATAATTGCAATAGTTATCATTTATTGTTATAAGAACGAATACATATTAATTAATGAAACTTAAAAATCTATTTACCTCCTTTTTAAACATTGTTGGGACCTGCTTGAAAAATTTATCTTGGAAGAAGTAAGCAATATGACATATTCCATTTCAGATGATAAATATTTGATTAAGATCTGGAAAAATAAGTAAATGATATTACCGTAGAGAGCAGTACCTGCTTTCTTAAGGATTACATCGGGTTCGAACATGTGTTCGAATCTTTCATCAGGTGACAGAAATGCATATAGTAGACCACTTGATGTTAGGAAAGGCTTCGAACAAAGATCCTGATAAATAAACAGTTGGGTTATGTGTACAGTTTTTTTACTGTAACGCACTGAAATATCCTTGTTAAAATATGCTACAACTCTAACTTGTAAATAGTGCTCCATGAACATTTTCCTAGATTCGAAAAATTCCCAGGATTTATTACTAAACGCTTTCCTGTTCGGTAATAAACTATCATCCAGATTCTCTGCAATTATAAACGTCTAAACTATGAGATTCAAATATTATCAATAACATCTCTTCTGAATAGGAATATAAGTTACGATTATTTGCCTTTTGAAGTTACCTTCATGAAATTCCTTTAGCTTATTATGGAGAACGTAGAATTCCATCAATCCCCTACGAAAAATGATAGGATATACAAGCCTAATAAATACAACTATTTCCCTTATAAATGTAGGGCAATGACTTAAATTTTTTGGTTTAACTACAAATGCTTGCTTGTTGTCATACAAGCAACTACTTAATTAGCAATTTAAGGCCGCATAGTTGTGAACCTTCTGACAGTCCATGCACGCTCATCAGCAGTATTGCCTGTTATCACATAAAAAGATAAAGATGTTAAATGTGTACAGTCTGTTAACTTGTATGGTAATCTTAAATCGTACTGTCTTCCGATTCTTCTCTCCTTGAAACAGAAATGTGATAAGCAGAAATCTACAGAAAGATAAATACACCATGTCGTTAAATTATCAAGTTTGAAACATTGAAGTTTCCCAATATCAACGAGCAAATTGGTACCTGTCTTCCATTACTATCGCTTTTAACGGTTGCTTCAGGAACTTCGATAAACCACTTGCTTATGTCGTAATTCTGATCGAATAATAACTCCGAAGCGTTGCTTTCAGACTTCTGTCTACCATAAGCTGTTTCGCCAATTCCATCATGTGAATTGCTGTGTGAGCCAATTTCCTAAATATGTAATAAATCTGGCATAAATCTTGCTCCTGACATAATAACGTTAACGATGCGTAACTACTAGAATGGGATTATCTTTATCAATTACCACCTCTTTATCATCGATTATACTTGAACGGCTTGACCCTTCCACTATTTTCACAAGTTAAAATAAAAGCATAACAAAAATCTGTGGTTAATATGATAGGTCAAAATAGTGTAATTATAACATGTCCGTACCCAATCCGGGCATTGATTTTTTTTTAGAAGCTGGCATCTTGTGCGCTGAACTCTTCCTACCCCACGAAATTCTCTTATCCTTATTTTCATTAGTTTTTTGAGAAAATTTGATTTTGTAAAACTACAATAAAATATACAAACGCAAACGTATTATGAACTAAGAGACCGTCTAGATACTGCATGGAAAGCAACCCTTGTTGCTGTTGTAATTTTCATATTTGCAGCCGAACCCAATCCGATAGTACCTCTTCCGACTCATAAAAGTTTGGCAAATATACATTTTCTAATGTTGCCATTATGTATCCGTATGCACGATACAGTGGATTTGCTAAACGAATGTAAAGTAGCGCATCTTTCTTGTTGGCGATAAGCTTTTCTATTTCAGAGACGATACCTCGGGAACACGGAATTTTACTGGGAGCATCAGGCGCGAAATATTCTGCATATATTTGCAGAGCCTGTCTATTTATGTCTTCAATTTCATTCGATGCCGAATTTACTTTGGAACCGCGGTTAGTAAAATCCTCTATTGTATTGAGCAACAGTAATTTTATTAACATTGCACGTCACGAAATCTTTAATGCTATAGATATGCAAGGACGGTTTGTAAGTCTAATCTTACCTACAGTCCTGCAAAAACTAACTAGATGAATGACGCCTCTTCGTTGCATAAATTTTTGAAAAGGAAATAACATCGTTGGCTCTGACATAGCTTTCTGCAAGGACGTATGGAAGGGCTAATAGGGAAAGAATAGGTCATAGATTAAAAATTAAAAAAGGTACTCAAAAAATTATGATGCATATGCGTTTACATGGCAGATCGATACAGTTTTCCTCTTTTGAAACGCTGATAGAATGGGCACTCGAGGTAAGTGAGAATCATCAGGACAATCGATCTATTTTATACGCCAAATTCAATATAGTTAATAAATGCATGGGAAGGAGCCTAACAGTTTGCTAAACATCGGTTGTCTAGTTTACCTTTGTTGGATCACAGAATGAATATATGGCTGTGTTGATTACATTCTACATCAAGTACATATGCATGAAATTGAAATACAACGAAAAAAGTTTTAGTTTAGCAATTTACGATAGGAGGTAAGAATTCTTATCAATAACCTACACAACTTATGGCACTAAATAAAAATAAAATAATTTCATTTTGAATAAAAATTATTAATTATTATAAACATGATATTTTGCGATCCATACCGGTTCAGATACAGTATGTAGAGCTTTATGCAAAATCGTGCAGCAAAAAATTTCTCTGAAGAGGGTACGAAGTGACCTTTACGAATTAGTAGATAGAGGTTACAGATTGCCATATATTCGGCGATATCCAGTATTGAAAAATAATCAAATATGACAAGAGCAAGACTTCAACTAGTGTACCTGCAATTCTCTAGATCTGCGGGAATAACGATTGTTACGATTGAATTTGCTAGAGATCGTAAATAAAACACTTCTTTTTCTTTACTTCTCATGGCAACATGTAAATTCGGTCCCAATAAACGTAAAGTTTCTAATTCAAGATCTTTTTCATTACCATCGCCTATACATTAATTGTTGCGTATTAATTAAGTTTGACTGATAGTCAAATTTCAGCCTTTATACCCCACATAATTAGTTCTGCGGTGATAATGATAAATAAAGCATAGTCTTACAGAGCTGTTTTGCTTTCACAAAAACATCTAGTTGCTGAAATGAGGCCTTAAATACTTTTTCCATTAGTACTGAAGTTAAGTCGATCTGAAAGTGTTTGAAATTGTAAAGAAAATATAAAAAATATCCATCATTGCTGTACAAAAAATAAATATGCAGTAATCACAGAAGGTATACAGTAAAACTAGAGCATTTTATGCGATATTTTACCCTTATAGCTCTAACGGTAAGGCTGGAAACAATAAATCGAATCGACTCTCTGATGCTGTTCACTAGGCCTTCATGAGAGCTGAATTGGCTACAAATAAATTGGATGGAATATGTTACTATACAAACATACTGCATTGTATGGTAGCTGTTGCAGATTATGATTGATGAAAGTATAGAACGTTATCTTGCTTCTACGGTAAAAGCATACCTGTACCAATAATAGACATAATTCTCCAAAAGTAAATTGAAAAACTAGCAGTAGAACCACCGTTAGTGCAAAGAAATATTATGATGTAATTCAGTGTAAATATATACCGAGAAGCAGTTGCCTACCTCCGTTAAGGCGTCATCGACTTTTTCCGTTACCGAAGTGTTTATCCAAGGCTATAAAGGGAATTGGCAAATGAGAAAGGAAATACGCATTACTACGATATCATTCAGGCACAAATTGTTGTAAAATATAGTGAGGTAGTTACGGATGTACGAATATAAATAATGATGGTGTCGTTTAAAATTCACCTCTAGCTGGGAAACGGTTGACATGGGTCTAATGGTTAACAGAAATAGAATATTTTAATATTATGAGTAGGATGCAATGAAAGAATGTTTTTAAGCAGTTTGTATTGTGGTAAACAGTTTCATCAATTGGAATACAGAATTGTACAAGCACGTTAGCATACAATATGCATGAATGTAATAGACATGAAGGTTAATTTTTGAACGTTTTTCATGATTAGGCTGGCTTCCATCATAACAATATTTAAGGATCAGAATACGAATGAATGTACGTATTCAATCCTATTTCTTTGCATACCGATGCCTTCTGCAACCAGGGGTGTCACAAACTTTGCACACGCTACTATCGACTCGCTTTCTAGGCTATAGTTCAAAATATATGGCCAAATAGACAAATTGAGTTGTTTTATCACCAGAATTGATAACAAAGATAATGCTATGCCAATTGCATCCACTGATATTAGGTTTACAATCATTATTTATTTTCCAAATATATACAGTATATATATATATATATATATATATATTGTTCTAGGCGTATTAATCAAGGCTGCCAACATTGATCGCACTAAAAGGTATTGTACGCTTACCTTCTTCTTTCTCGTTAGCATGATCACCTCAGTTAAATGTCGGTATGTGCTAGAGAAAGACGATGGAAAAGATAAATCAAGCATAGAAGGTGTGAATAATCATTTACGACAGCAAAAACAAGGAGTGAACAAGGTCAATATTTCTTGACTATGAAAGTTAATCAGTAGTTGTACTTTTAAGAGCATACCTGTAACATGATAGACTAGCATAAAATCCAAGCCCAGCGACCCATAAACCAATGAGTAGATGGATACGACTGTTTATATTATGAAGAAATGGACAACATTGTTATCCAATTAAAATTGAAAAGGAGCAAGAAGAATTGGAATCCAATTCAAATGGACAGCTCCATCCATATAATTAGTGCTGCTTAATATTACTATTTATGTTTTTTTGTTGCCTTACATGGATAACGTAAAGGTTAGGAATAGCAACATGATAGCCACAAAAAGTAGGCCATCATGGATTTGGTTGCCATTCAGTAATACCATATTTCCACTTGATAGAGCATTGATCCTCGATGAGGAAGAAGTTGCTTCTACTGTAACCAATACCCCTGAAGTATTCACTCAACTTGAAACATCAAATAGTACTAGAATTACAATAGAAAGAAGCCAAATGAGCTTAAAACGCGATTTTATCCTAGCATCCACTCCAGTATCCAGAGGTAGGTGAATAAAACTCCAAGGTTACCTCATCACACCAGGCCGTTTAGGTCCGTGAAGCGCTTTTTAAGCGAGTCGCCGTACTATTGCATAAATATTAGAGAATCGTATACCTCATTAGATATAGTTCTACGCAGTACCCTAGACCTTCTCCGTGTCATCAGGTGTGCAAGGAACTCTACCGGACTCGCGGACGGACAGTCGAGTTGCAGACCATGGTGCATCCTTGTGTACGCTAGTGTACTGTACACGATGACTACCTCTGTGGCTGTTTAGGAATACAGGACTACTACTGCTAGTACTGTACATTAGGTCCACGGACTGCTCAAGAAGCAATTTTATCCTAGAGTAAACTCTCATCTCCACTTCTACCTCACTCTTACTTTATATAATATACTGCATATGTGTATTCTAAAGCAAGAGTAGAGATGTGGCGATGTGCATTCTAACGTAAGAGTAGGGATATGGAGATGTGCATTCTAAAGTAAGAGTAGGGATATCGAGATGTGCATTCTAAATTAAGAGTAGGGATGTGGCGATGTGCATTCTAAAGTAAGAGTAGGGATATCGAGATGTGCATTCTAAAGTAAGAGTAGGGATATCGAGATGTGCATTCTAAAGTAAGAGTAGGGATATCGAGATGTGCATTCTAAAGTAAGAGTAGGGATATCGAGACGTGCATTCTAAAGTAAGAGTAGGGATATCGAGACGTGCATTCTAAAGTAAGAGTAGGGATATCGAGATGTGCATTCTAAAGTAAGAGTAGGGATATCGAGATGTGCATTCTAAAGTAAGAGTAGGGATATCGAGACGTGCATTCTAAAGTAAGAGTAGAGATATCGAGACGTGCATTCTAAAGTAAGAGTAGGGATATCGAGATGTGCATTCTAAAGTAAGAGTAGGGATATCGAGATGTGCATTCTAAAGTAAGAGTAGAGATATCGAGACGTGCATTCTAAAGTAAGAGTAGGGATATCGAGATGTGCATTCTAAAGTAAGAGTAGGGATATCGAGACGTGCATTCTAAAGTAAGAGTAGAGATATCGAGACGTGCATTCTAAAGTAAGAGTAGAGATATCGAGACGTGCATTCTAAAGTAAGAGTAGGGATATCGAGATGTGCATTCTAAAGTAAGAGTAGGGATATCGAGATGTGCATTCTAAAGTAAGAGTAGGGATATGGAGATGTGCATTCTAAAGTAAGAGTAGGGATATCGAGATGTGCATTCTAAAGTAAGAGTAGGGATATCGAGATGTGCATTCTAAAGTAAGAGTAGGGATATCGAGGTGTGCATTCTAAAGTAAGAGTAGGGATATCGAGATGTGCATTCTAAAGTAAGAGAAGGGGTGTAGAGATATGCGTTCTAAAGTAAGAGTAGGGGATGTGGAGGTGGGAGTTTTAGGGTAGAATTTATTCTACAGTAGTCCCTGTTAGTTCTATCATAGGCTAACTTCTACCTCCGATAAATGGACCAATATCAATTGGTATCCGTCCATTGGCAATATTAAGCCCTTTCAACTCAGCGCAAACTGATTTCCCATTAATTAAGCCTGTCCATATTACCATTTCGATTTTTGATACTTCAAAAAAATGAAATAGTGCTATACTAGAACATATATACTGTCGATACTGTAGCAGTGTTACACCCATCGAGGACTACTGCAGAGCTAAAGAAAAACACCTCTATGGCTGCGATAGGGACTTCTAAAGAGAAATAGTTTTCCTTGAAGTTCCTGGTTAGGCTAGCTGTCGACAGCTACCAATAGCGCTTCATGAAAATATCGCATTAGGAAGTTACTGAAATTGAATAAGTTTTCAAAAGTAAATTTGTAATCTGCATGCTCTCCTGACTCCAATGATATTGTGATGGTCAATGCTCAACCTCGAACCTTAAAGGCTTTACAAGTCAACCTGGAAATTTTTGACAATCCTAGGATTGATCAGATCGGTAATACAAGTTGTAAGCTATAAAGATTGTTGATATCACTTTATAGCCGGGCTTACACGCCAGGCGTGTTAGCGTCTTAGTAGTCATGTACGGCTTAGCTGAGAATACATCAGGCTGTATAAAGTATAGTACAGTAGTTCTAGAGTTGCAGCACCCAAGGAAAGTAAATCTGTGGCTATTCCTTGGAAAATGTGTGACCAAATTTGTAGAGTTTCTATTTCTGCCAAGTTTGACTGCCAGACACTTTCCTGGCTATTTGTTTGATGCTTGCAGTCAGACTCAGACTCATACAGATAATTGCCGTGGGCTCACAGATCTAGCTTGAGCAGCCTGCGTTTAACAGTAACTCTCTTCTTTCTTTACGTATGTACTGTAGCACCTACACTGGACTCTAAAGACATCATGCAAAGTAGCGAGCATTTAGGGTCATTCAGCCATTGGAATTTTCCATCAAGTACAAACATATTGGTATTAATTCGTGCTATTGCAACTTCGCTGGAGTACCTAAATCGAAAGTACTAATACTTCTGCGATATCCTATCACAGTAGAACTTTACTCACTAATCCTGATTGGACACAGTATTCTACTGTGCGTAGGCTCACTAAATTACACGAACAATATAGTTTGAAACTAACTGAGCTTTTAACTTGTAAATATCTTACGAAGGTCTCTTTTCCTGTACCATTACTAAAGTATGCAGTAAAGCAACAATATCCGACATGCAGTACAAAGTTGCTAGCTGTAACCACTAGTATTGCATTCATGTCATCTAATTGCTATTAATAAACATAGAGTATCTTCATTTAACAGGTAAACTTTATTGTAACCGATGCATTTTTACAACAATTTTCGATAGCTTCACGGAATGACGTAAAACTGGTTAACAGCCATTCACTTAATGCTGGCGAGCCATCCATGCAGATAAGGGACCATGATCCTTCAAATACTGACAACCAACACCGTCAGATAGCAATTTACCATCTTGCTGCATCTGTAAATAGTCTTCTTTATCCCATTTAGTAAATCCCCATTTCTTAGAAACATAAATCTTTAAAATATCAAAGAAGGATTTAATAAATAACCATACTTGCAATGTCATCTGTATTGATAGTTCAATCAGCTTATACAGATACTCGTAGATTAAACAACAAAAAACGGATGATCGGTAACTATTGTTGTTATTTGTTTATAATCGAGGAGATTGTTACCTTTTGGCGTCCAGGGAACTTAAATTTAGCACGTCTTAAAGCTTCAATAGCCTTAGCTTGGTGATTATCTTTTGTCCTGATTGAGATAAGAGGCTGTCCGATTTTTACACGAGCTACAGTGCCGTAAGGTTTACCAAAGGCACCACGCATACCTGTTTGCAATCTAATGGAATAAACACCATGTCATTAACTAAATTAGAGTATCTATGATTTTAGTAGGCAAAGACCAACAGATCGGGCTAATGTTAATATAGTCCGGACAATTCTATTTCACTTTCACTAGTGTAACTACTAACGATTACCATTCATGAGAGTTTATATTGCTAAAACTTTGAGAAAGTGCGGCATGACTTTTCCGTTATCATGCCAAGTAGACTTTCTGATGGTAAGAGACTACTACGATCTATAGGTGTATGTCAATTTTGGAAGGAGATTCCTACCTATCGGCACCGGCGCACGACAACATCTTGTTAATACGTAAAACATGGAAAGGATGGACACGTATACGGATATGAAATTGATCTTTCGCGGTGTACTTTACCATGTACTTGTTGCAACAGATACGAGCTGCTTCTAACGCTTCGCTTGACAACTGCTCAAACTCATCTGATACCAAATGGATGCATGTTGGAAAGTCTTCTACATTAGCCTTTTTACGACCCAGATCGTAGATGCGAATTTTGGGATCTATTGAGGTTCATAAATAACGGATTACAATGATTAATAGTTATTTCGTTTTGCATAAGGTTATTAATATGGCACAAAATATCAACGAGCACATAAGAGTATATGATAATATCTTAATATCTGCATTCGCTTGCAGCAATTTCCGAATATTGACAAAATCTTAAAAGTGGGTTACAGAACAACATTGGCCTGCTATATGCATTGCTTCTTCCAGTCAATAAAAACGATCATCTTACCAAAGAATGTAATCTGATGGAAAACTACCAGTACAATATAGTACTACTTTACGCATAGATCGCTGGCACTACTACGACATAATGTTAGATACTACATAAGCAAGCAGTAACGTATTGAAAAAAAATAAATGTTTATGCAGATGTTATTACCGTTGAGCTTATCATAGACGATCACTCACCTGGGACACCACGACAGAAACGCGATTTAGGGTATGCTTTATTCTTGCAATAACGATAGCTGCAAACGAAATCAACTTGTTAGTAACACTTTACAAACTGCTTCATAACCATTTCAGCACAGTATTTTTTCGTCTATTGAGATTTTCTTAAGAAGCAGAGTTTACGGTATGATAGCAAAAGGTAATTATTGTAATATTAGCAATCATTCCTTTACCATCGGGCTGGACGACGACCCATCTTGATAGGCAAGTATTATAAAAAAACTTTTGGACGTAGAACCTATTGAAATTAGAAATGTTGAGTTCATCTTGCCGTCAACAACAGAATTCATTGAAAAAAATTTTCGTTTCAAAGTCAGCAATGTAACTGTGGTTATAAATCTCGAGTCTACAAGAAAATAATACTGCAAAGTATACATTGATGTCATCCACTGCTAAACGGATGAGAGCACCAGCAACTTTTAGCCTATCAACTGTTGTGAATAAGTAAAACTATCTCGATACCTTTCCTGTTTATAAATAAATCAAGTCAAAAAAATCAATGTACTTGGATGCCATTTTACAAATCATTCCAGTACAGTAGAATACAACAAGCATGGAAACTTACTGATACGAATTACGTTTTAGCGTTGATAACTAATTGGAGAATTGTCAATTTCTGTGGATTGGCAGACAACAAGTCCGAGTAGATGAAATGATACGCAGATGGCACACTTTCTGGCTATAATATCACAACATTCGACTTTGTAAGTTACTGACTCATCCGTGACTCATCATATTTTGAATACTGAACGATAGAGCAAGAAAAGGATATTGCACAAGTGCCGTCCATAGTGACTGTAGTGAGCATTGGTTACAAGCGACGCTCGTAAGTGATTTGGTATCCATGATAACATTATATACTGTAGATAACTCTAGAAAATAATATCAACTTTGCCTTCCTAAAATCTAGTGTCGACATGTAGATATAATTTGCCGTTGAAGAAGACATCGACGTGTGTGGATTAACTAACTTTCAGTCTATGGCACTTTGATTTGTATCAAGTCCTACTGTATGCCTACCGGTGTGGTGGTGTATGCATCGATTCAATGATGAATTTGATTCAAGAACGAACTTTGCTGATTATTCCGATCAATGGAAACTAACATGACAAATTGATGTAAAATTCTATTCTCTAAATCTTTTTTACGCTATCAATCATGGATGCATCGACAGATTGAAGATTCCATTAGGATTTTAACAGCTTACCTAAAATTGATATCGCCACCACACTAGGAGCTCCGCCGTCAACTACATGTACAGTACAAGAGGAAGAGTATAAGATCTAAGACGAAGCATTTATAGTCCATTTTTGTGCGAGTGCGCAGTTGAGAAGGAGTGCGTTCTAGAGCATGCGCAATATGCTTGGCCCTACACAGAACGGTAGAAGGGCAAATTCAACCATTACTGCGTAGGGTAAATTAGCCACTCTGTGTTTTTTTTCTTACCTCTATGATTTCAACTGGCGGCAGGCACTACTAAATCATCATTTTTGCTAGCGAGTACAGTAAAAGAAAACCATGGTACAGTACTTAATCATATCTTGCCTAGCACAAATAGAGAGCGAACACAATATCACCGGTCAAGAAGAGTGAGGGAGGACCCTCAATATCAGACTGGTCCATCATGCTGTGTCATGCTGTCGGCTGTCCGCTGTCCGCTGGCAGAGGCTTTTTTCTTCAGGAAGCATCCATCCGTACGTCTATCTAGGATCATGGTACAGAGTACAGATGTACAGACGTACAGACTTCTCTTATTGACTGTCCCTTCAGCCTTGTTACAAGTGACTGAGAGATGGCTTGTACTAGTAGCTTGTACTGTGTTAAGAATTTTCGAAAAAGAAATAAAATAACTCAATACTGCGGTAAGAATTAGCAATAACATCAAGAGGCGATGGCTCAACATTGTAATGATCTATTTGCGTGAAACTTGACTGAAGTTTCAAGTAAAATATGTTGAAAATTGAAAGAGAATGAATACTGTAAAGGTAACACTACTGCTGATCAACTTTCAATCAGTATACTGTGCAGTACAGTGCAGTAATTGTCATCCATTTTTCTGTCCGTAGCAACTGGATCACATGACAGTCATCCAAAGTTGATGTTGATGTTGAATACATCGTGAGTACTTTAGCGGAGAGTAGAGATGAGTGTTTGGTGATAGAGTAGAGACATAGTGTAGGGAGGTAGAGACATCAATTCAAAAAATCAATCAATGATGGGTAGAACAACTGCAGCAAGTATGCGAGATAAACAACGCTGTCACCAGCAACAGCGTCGTAGCAGTTTTTCACTTCACACATTTCAACATAGAAGAAGCTGTTTCTAAGACTTCTTCTTCTACAATATTGTAGCTCTTACTTGGTGTAGCCTGGCCAGTACTTTCCATTACACATGCTGGTATTAAGTTGGGCATTGTTTTAAATCAGGCCATGGATATCATCCGATGTCTAGGAATAGAATATTTCCCCACCAAATAACTCCATGGCAGCTTGATCATAATTGGCTACAGTGTACAGTACACCCATTGGTATAGTACAGTACAATTCACTGTATCCGTGTCCTACAACGGTAAAGGTCTAAAATGCGAACTCGATCATCATTGCGTGTGACTAGGTTCAGTAGGGTGATGGTGCTGTCAGCAGCAACACTATGGTCCTACCAGGAAAATGATGTCATCGTACAGTACGTTTACGGTGGTACGTGGTGCAGGCAGAGTCGCCCATGACTGGCTGACTGGTCACAGTGGTTGAAACGTTGAAGTGGTGAAGCTTGAATGGGAGCCGTGGGAGACGTCAGATGACTCTCTTCCACTACAAGTGTTACATTCGAAAGTGACGTCAGTATAGTATTGGTCGGCAGCAATCATGGCGCAAGGAATGGCTAGCTCGTTCTTGTTCATCATCTTGGTTATTAGCAGTTGTTATGCATTAGATAATGTTCGATATAGAGATTGTGGTAAGGAGAAAGAGCAACTAGTCTTGTTCATCCATTTGATACTGTGAGCAGGGTTAAGAGAAGCTTCCATTTCTGTCTCAAGTCGATTTGAAATTCTTGCAATCCAAAGTGGCATTCAATAGTCATGCTGCTAATATGGATGATTGTCCATTTCTTGTCTGTAGTCAAGAATATGCAGAAGTTGTCATTGATACTTTAGCATTGAAATTAGAGTATTCGTTATTGGAGTATATTGTCAGTGCTGTAATAGTATAGTCATGGAAGGAGCATTTTAGGCAACAGTATCATCATTTGGGGGTATTTGCATAATTATAATTGATGTTTTGTTTCAACCACAGGTTCTCAAGTGGGAAAAGTCAAATCGCTTTCAATTAATCCATGCACCTCTCAACCTTGTATCTTGAAACGTGGAACTAATGTCACCGTTACCATCAACTTTTCACCATGTACGTAGAACACGATAAGGATCATGGATTGTAAAATAATATGTAATCAAAACGCAAAGGAGCAATGCAATGATCCAGCACCAATACTAAACGGACAGTTGAACACACTGTACTCGTACTATTTTTTAGTCGTATAGTCAAAGTACTTTTACAGAGGACAAGTACAATATCAACTACTACGCTACAGTTCTATTACTATTTGTTAAAAAATTACGGTACATTTTTACATCAAAGGATTAGCTGATTGGATTACAATTTTGTTAATAACTTGTTTCATTCTTGATCAGTAATAATAATAATTATGCAACGACTGTAAGTTAAATTTGTATTGACAGCAGGACGATTGTATTAATCAGTTAGTAAAAGTAGAATCATTGATGGTTAACTTAAATCCTTTACTGTCGGTACAATGACAGTGAATCCAAAATCGATCGAATAAATAGCTGCATTAATCCATAACTTTAGTATTGAGATTATGTATTCTTTGTAAGTAATTTTAAACCAAAGTTCAACTTCTTGAATAAACCATACTGTAGAAAATGCAATTGGCTTAGTGTATAATATGATGTTAAATGCATTTATAGATAGTACACTGTAGTATTATAGTCTTAAAAAAATGAGATGAATTTTTAAGATAGGTAAATAGGACTATGAAAGTAATACATCTATTTCTTTACTCTAGCTGAGAGCATCAAGAAAATCCAAGCGGTCGTATTTGGAGTCTTAGAAGGTGTGCCCATACCTTTTCCACTTCCCAATCCTAACGGATGTAGCAATAGTGGCGTTAAGTGCCCCTTGGAGAAGAGTGCTATGTACAAGTATCACTCTATCATCCCTGTCAAGAAAATCTATCCAGCTGTAAGGAGTAGAAACTACAAGCGCAAATAACGCGAATATTAAATCATAGTGTAGTCTAATCTTTAATCGTACAGAGTACACGCTTATAAAGTTAAATTCAACAAAAGTTGCATTTGACGTGGTAAATTAGCCCCAAAGGATTAACGTATCTCCAATTTGAACTTGTTAATTTTTATACTATTTAGGTAACGTTAATCGTTCGATGGGAATTGAAAAATTCAGCCGGGAAGAAAGTGGTTTGCTTAGATATTCCTGCATCGATTGAGTAATTCGATGGATCAATGGAACCATGCAATAAGATCTAATCTATAATAATGTAGTTTTCTTATACTTGATTGTAATAGCTCAAACGACCAGTTATAGAAGCTCCCGATTGCTACTTGTAGCTATATACTAGTATATAATAAGATGTTTTGCCTGAAATTTTTTAAAAAGATCTTCATTCAAGTATAATCGTAAATGTCGACTGTTTGTTTGATCTTTTAAGTTTTACAAATTCCTCGGTTAATCATACTTGGTTAGAATATGAGAAACCATAATCTTAGGAAAATTATAATAAATGGGTACATTTTTATAAATCGACTGATTGTTGAATGACTTTTTGGGAGACTTTGAAACCGATTATTTGGATACGACTTACCAGTACCTTATAAACTATTGTAGACGTAGTATACGCGTGTCACGAATTACCGCATATTCAGTATAATCTTTTATAATATACAGCATTTATATCCAGTGACGTAAAATTAGCCAACATGATAGGTTTTAGCGCGATTAATTAAGTCTTGCTAGCAGCAAACAACACGTATCATTTATTACATTTTAGTGATTTGGTTTGAGTTTCAAGGAAATGAAAACACAGCCTTATGTTTTTTCTACAATCTTTTACGTGCGAGAGCTAACACTTCTGCAGAAATGACAGATTGTGATTTACACTGAACTTTACAGTTTCTACAAGCGTTATTATCTATTAAAAAATTATAGACTTTGCATGTCATGGTCAACCAAAACTTCGAATTCCAAATAATACCTTTCTTCGTATCCTTTTAATCAATTCCTACACAGAATTTTGTTGCTAAAATAATTAGCTAAAATCTTGATATCAAAATAAGAAAAATAAAGACAATGCTACATTCCATAATAAGTTTATACTAAACATATATCACAATAAACATCTATCTACAAATGTAGACTGGCAAAAAGTTGTTGTTGTAAGAGGACTAAATGAGTACTGTAGGTGCTACAACAAAGTTTTCATCAGTGTACCAATCATAAATTGCCAAAAAGGCGCTATCGAAACAACCACTTATCGTCGAAATGCTCTCGTACTTGCCATGCATACTGACGTTGTGAATGTTCAGTATCGACAGATATATACAAACAACGAGCACTCGACGATGCTTTATAATATTGCATAAGTAATCGAGTTACTTATCAGAAAACTAAGTTAATAGTTCATTGTAGGAGAGTAGAAATCCATGGTTACCAGGATTCATTGTGAAATTAGGAAGAATAAATTCAGATCAAAAACCAGCATAATTTTGAGCAGTAATTTCAGGCTCACGGCTGTTTTCCGAATCAGAAGTATCCCTATATATTATATTCGTAGCATAAAACATTCAAACTAATTTTGCTGCCAAGAAATCAGAAAATACGAACTAGGAACGTGAGATGATTAAGAAACCTACCTAAAGAAAGATAAAACTTCAATAAACTTTCGCTTGCATACGTCCTGGGCCAAATCTCTATGTTCTGCTATGACCGTGTTGATTGCTGTGCGAAGATACTGTTGTAATCTCTCCTTACGATTTTTAACGAACCGTGGATCCTGTAATGTTAAGGATAACCAATTAACTACTACCACAAGAACTTCTTAGCATTTTTGAATTGCGATTAAAGGATTTTTATACCATTTTTTTCAGTGCATTCTTAGGTGGAAAATCCAACTTTGCTGTACTGGGATAAGTTCGTTTCATCTGTAGTATCGTGGTAATGGCCAAATGAAAATAAACGGTAAGTAATAGCATTACCTGCATACTACACAAGCTAAATATAGATCACAATACGCCATCAATTATTGCAAGTTGACAAACCGCTTTCCAAAATTTATAAAATTGCGCATATCTTCGGTAAATATTCCATTCTTCATCACCAATTCTGACATAGACCTTAATGCAAATAGAAACATCTCGATTCAGAAGAACTTACATGCTAAACTTGAAATAACATCCATAACAACATCGATAATGTACCTGGTAAACGTAGTAAGTTTCGGAACCAAGCTTTCTTAAGAATGCAGACGGAATCCAGATATTCACTAGTGGTCTAGTTACACTACAATATAGCGATCATTCAATAAGCATTCTCTTTTAACTTTATAGATTGCAATGCATCTAAGTTTAATCCAGTTTCATACCTCTTAACTTCCAATTCTTGTAATTCTGGGTCTTCTGACTCCTGGCTAAGTGGCATCTAATCATTTTTTGTATTTACAATTGATGAGCTACCATGAATAACAGATAATTCAATAACTAAAAGCATTTCTAACTACCGGTCCTCGTAAATTTATTAATTCCTCCTTCATACGATGTATGCTAATATCTTTACGTTGAATTTGCCGTTGGAGCATTTCATTAAACTCCAAAAGTTCTCCGCACATTTCAGCAACCTAAAGTACGAACGACACAATGCAAAGACAAAAGATGCTTTAAGTTACGATCAAGCTTATGATGTAAATAAATTAGCTTAAACTCTTCAAAAGCTATGAAATACAAAGGTAATGTACCTGCACAAGTTTCTGTTCGTACGAGTCCTGTTCAACACTGTATTCAAATTTTAATTTTTGAAAATAGTTACTATTTTTATATTAATCATACGGATGTTGCTTAGAAAAGTTATACCTATAGACAGTAGACTGCTGTGTCTCGGGTACTGAAATTGGTGTATCTTGTCGAATACCAGTAAGAGCTAAATGAAAATAGTGAAAATATTAAAAGAGTTTACGCATTCATTCCGCAAAGGGGCAAGAAACTAAATTCAGTCGTAATATCAAATGTAATAGTAGAGACTAGCCATATGCACAATGCACATTTTTATCTGTAACCTTGCTTTGTTATTGGTGTTTCTTCCTTAATTTCTCGACGAAGGTGTTGTACAGCACTAACATATTTTTTTAGTTGATTTTTTAGCATTTCTACTTCTCTGTAATAAAATATTTTCCATCATAATTAGTTACACTCGCATTTTTATAAGATACATTTTTAAGGTTAATTTAATTGGTTTACCGAGTTAATGAGGTAACACGCTTAGTCTGCATTTCTTCGGTTAGACTAGAAGTAGCTGTGGCCTTTTCTAGTTCACCTCTTAAACGTAGGGAATTATCAACTTCTTCGTGATAAGATTTCCTCAAGGATCTACGAATGGAGACAATATAAGTTAAGGATCATAAAAGAACAATTTACTACGACATCCTAACAGTTTCTATCGAAAGTATAAAATATTTCCAAAGTATTGATCTCATAATAATGAGCTTAAGATCAAGTGTTACGCAATGTGGATTTACGAACTTGATATTTTCTCGCATTCTTGTTCTCTCGCAATGGTTAGATAAAGCAACTTCCCTTAGTTCCTCTATAAATATTTGACACCAAAATTAATAACAGCCACTACTTTTGAAAATGATTTCATATGCCAATAAATATAATATAAGTTTGAATTAATTGAGATCAGTCTGACCTATAGACATTTGATGTAATCGTTTTTCAAATTCCTAGAAAAATAACGATATCTTACTACGTTTTGAATTGTAAAAAGTGCACCTCGAGCTAATGTAATAGAAATTTTATCAATTTATTTGTAACAAAAATGTCGATATAGTGGTATATTATCATACTATAAAGTCTTAGGACTGCATAGAAACTGTAGACATTAATCAGCATAAAGTCACCTTCACTTCCGAACTTGTCGTATCTGAGGAGCCATGCTGAGCACTAGGAGAAGCAAATAGAAAATGCGGTTATCAATTATTGCAGGAAAGAAGCGCATAGGTATAGCTGTATAGGTAGTATTTTAGAAACGTTAAATCAGTTAACAATTCAATTCATTACCTCTGACCCCGAGATGATAAGTCAGTGCTGTTGGAGTCAGAGTCTACTGAATGAGAATCTTCCGAAGTGATGACATCATAACTGAGTTTTGATACAGTGAGATTATCTAACATATTAAAAAAAGTGTATAGTTAAACCATTTGTTGACACCCTTACATGATCATTTTCGCTAATCACAAACACTTTTTAAAATCATTCTACCTACTTGATTGTAATGCAGGATTATTACATGTCGCAAGATTTTTATTAATTTCATTACTAGCAGATGCAACCTTATTTGTAGTATCAGTTAAACTCGAAAGCGAATCATGAGATTCCACTTGGGGTAACTCGTGCCGGTGTTCAGACTTGCTCTTTTCGACTATATCATAAGCGTTTTCTTTAATTACAACGTCGCTAATCTCTTGATAGTTGTAAATATGAATATCGTTCGCTAAATTAGTTAATTTCGTACATATATCGCGGCTGTTTTCTTGCTGTGAGCTAACTGCATCTAAGAATCCAATATTGTTCGCCTTTCTTTCTTCATCTTGGCTAATTATCGTTTCTATAGAGTCTTTGGTTTCGCCGATATTCGCAGTACTTTGAGTAGTACATTCCGTGCTCATATTTTCCGTTGTTATATGATCTTCTTGTGAAGAAGATTCATCACTTAATTCATTAATCGGCCCTTTCGTGTTCAACAAATTAGTATCTAAAAGTTTTTGATTAGAATCTTTTACAACTGCATTTTGTTCTACTCCTTCCAGATTACTGATTGTCGCTGTTTTAAGTATGATATTAGTAGGCTCTGATGCTTTGGTGAAATCGCCTTCTGGCTTAGCTTCTATCACTTTATTATTATTTTCCAGCATCGCAATGTCAGTAGTAGCAGATTTTGTACCTTTTATATCCCCTTCTGCAACTGAAACTTTCAATTTCTGCTGGGACTCTTCCACAGGATCTATTTGCTCAGACAATCTAGTATTTGTAGAAGATTCCTTCATTGCGCTCAAATCAAGACTAGGATCGACAAAAGCCGATTGAAAAACGGAATTCCATGCCATTTGTTTGGTATACAGACTATCAAGTGAGCGAAATTCAGTATCATAAGTATCGGGAGTTAGATCAGCATCTTTTAATAAATTTTGCTGTCCAGTAATATTATCGTTAACAATCTTATCCACTGAGGAGCTGTCTAGTTCTTCACTTTGCGGCTTATTGGCATCGCTTAAGGGATCCTTAACATCACTGGCCGTATCAGCTAATACCGGGGCTTCCATTGCTGCTGATGCTGCTGTTATTGCATCATTTAGGTCGGAGTTTAAATTAGTAATTAAATCAATATTCTGAAATGGTAAAACATAGGATGTAAGAATATATATTTTAGAATAGAGTGCAATCATTCCATCTCCAAAATTGTTTCATAATAGTCTTACTTTCGAAGAAATTGAACTATTAGCATTTCGATAATTTGCTTCGTCATTGAAAGTACTACTTGCATCTGTAGAGGTATTCAAGGTCAATGAATCCTGTAATTGCTGAGTTCCATTGGATTCATTAATTGTGTATGAATTATTTGAGGGACTAAAAGAGATAATGCTGTCCTGGTCTTCATCGATAGTATTAGCGGGTGAAATAGTTGCAGTTTGTTTCTGTCTCTTTTTTTTGCGTTTTACAGTAGCTGCTACTATAGTAAGCCAAAATAAAGCATGTTATAATCGAAAAAGTATACAGTGAATCTAACCAATTGGTAGATTAGTATTTGTGACATGATTCACTACTTTACTAAATAAAATACCAGGTATATTGGTAGCTGCATGTTGCGTTTTACTGGCAACATTTTCCTTTAAGACGGATGGAGGTGGGCTGGCTGAAGTAGATGATACTGCAGTCTATCAAAAATGTGAATGTTTACTCTTCCAAATCCACCATCAATGCAAATTTTAACAAGTCATGGAATATATTTTGATATGCTATCAAATAATACGAACTAGCTTATTTGCGGAATTTAGCTGAGTGTTGTTCGATGTGATTGCGAAAACGATAGATGATAGACCTAAAATAGTTATCATCGATTAGTACATTTCAGGCTATTAAGTTCATCTTGCACATTCGATTTGTTATATCCAACAGCTACATTAAAACGAACAAGTTAAAAAACTGACCAGCACATGCATCTAACAATAGAGAATTCAGTTCAGTATCCAACATGAAGGCATAGCTTTCGTAAAACTTTCTAAAATTTGTATGAAGGAAAAATTATTTTATGACGACATGAGCAGATTGAATAAAATTTCAAGTGTAGCCAATATTAAAAATAAATTTATCCAAAATGGTGATTTTACCGTATTATACTTGGATCAGCAACAACTTTTCCGAAAAATTTTTCTAAGCATCTTTCATTTAGCATACACCGTAGCCAAGCACGTCCTGGCAGCGTTCAATAAATTGTGTAAGATAGTTGCTATTTAGAAAATTTTTGCTGTAAAGCTTATTCATACATATCTTGTCCGCTTTAGTATGTACTGTATTGATGACATTTTAATCGTCTTTTTACTATCCAATGTTATCCTTCATTATATGCTAATTACTATTGTTCTAGTTTATGGTATGTATGCTGCAGATAGAAGAGACATATTTGGATGACAAGTGTTGAATTATTAAATGGCTTTACTGTAATAGATTGGGCGCAATTTTTAGTATCGAGTTAGTGCAGAAGGAAATAGAAAGCCCCTAAGAGATTGATTGAATAGGAAATGATAAATCAGCAACTTTATTGTTTTGCAATTCTAGAGACAGCAATTTTCGCAATAGAGCTTACTCCGCAATATAAGAAATACGAAAGTAACAACTGGAATGCAACTTGAATTTTGCTTTGCTTGTATGATCATTCTAGGATATCAATAAACTATGAAGAGATTACAGCCTTTAAAGATGATGAATTTGTATGCAAGAAAATTCAAACAGGGGGCTACACTAGAATTTTGATTGTGCTACTTGGTCTAATGTTATTCTCTTTATAAATATAAAATAAAAGCCGATAACCAAATCCATGTTGTAGTGAAAGATATTAATTTACAGTAGATGATCATCATTGTGGCAACTAAATCGTGTTTTTGGCACTAGAAAAGTGATTAATAATACTAACCTCTGCCAATATCACTGGAGATATTGGTTAACGAATCAAGTCGACTTAATTCCAATTCAGAAAGATACTTTTTAACCCAATTCCAAAAGCCTAAGTGAATATGACTAAGAGTTAACTTGAAAGTAAAGTTATGCAGTTTTACAGTTTATATTATTGATATCGAGGACCGTTGTTATCATTAAGAAACAAAAGTGTATTGACAAAAAACATCCAATGGCTTACATGGTTCTGGTTCTGGTTCTGGGCTAATGTAGCTCATTAAATTCTTGACCGGCCTATCCATATCAATATTGAAATCAATATTAGCATGAATTCTATAGGAGTAATACTAACTTTGCCTATTTCTACTTGATTGGTAGACTCTTAATACACATGTATACAGAAAGTAATTTTGCAACCAAAGCAATGTCGAAGTTCAAAATTGTTTTAATTACCAAGCAAATGAATCTTTCTTTTTGATGACTTTCAAACCATGTTGTAAAACCGCTTCCAGTTGAATACAGAGGCAAATAACACTAGTAAAATTGGTAGGAAATTAACATTACAGAATAATATAATGTTGACTTGATGAATGGACAGTATTGGATTGAAGCATGCAGGACGATTAATCTTTTACGTTATTGATTCGAAATCACAATTGACGTAGGTTACCATGCATGACATATTGGATATTTCCTGCATGATTACAACTTGAGTCAAGTGAGTAGAAATGAAGCATGATAGAATAATGTAATAGTGATTTGTAACGATGACTGGGTTAGACTGAAGATCCATGCTTTAGACGATCAGTTTCCTTTACTTAATTGTATCAGAAATGATTCTAGCGGTCAATTATAGCAATAGCCACTACATTGTATAGTCAATCCTATGGTAGTAAAATCGAGTCGTCATTATGCATTGGTTTACCAACAGTATTGATAGTATAGTATTGATAGAGTAAACAAATCTTTTAGTCAATATTGTACAATCCTTCCATTGCTAAAGGTATCAGACCATGTTAAGATTGAATCGGATCGACATTGATAATCATGATTTAAATACATTACTATCATCGTCCAAGAATGATTGGCGGCTATTGAACTTACGTGCTATCATTGTCAGTAGCGATATCTTGGCCTTCTTTAAATCGTATCTGGCACTAGAAAAAGTAAAATGGTTACCTTCAATTTGACAGCAAAGCAGTTGAAATTATCTGGCTGTGCACGCCCAAGGTAGAAGTAGGATTGTAATGTATATTGACATAATGATGGAGAGTATCATCATGTTATGGAAATGTACAGTATGGTCAGGACTCAGTTGAACCCATGCAAATAAAACGCAAGTTTGCATCATAATTAAAGCCCAAGTAGCGTTATGTAAACTGATAACCACTGAAGCAAGATAAGCTAGTGTAAACTATGTTATCTTTAAGTAAAGTCTACGGAGTCCAATTTATACCCAATGGCGTTGGATCTTGCATCGACTATGTTTATCCTCATAGCTAATTTTTGCAGGGATTTCATGGACCAGAAAATGATACTATGGATCAACATCCATCAACGACTCCTGTCATACTGTACATACTCGTATGTACAAACTATCCATGTCAATTACGGTAGTCATGCTTGGTGTTTGTGATACTACCACTACCAATTGAAGTCATCCTTGGAAAAGAAGTCATAAAGTGATGATTGCAGTGGCCATTTGACTGACTACTAAACAGACAAGTATGATTAATCATGATGATCAACACTATGGCCAGGTGTATCGTTGAACGACTCTTTGTCCATCTTTCCTATTGCACAACGAAGATTGTTGTCTTCTTGATAGCACAACAAATGGAATAGCATTAGGATAATGTGATGTATTTCAAAGCCCTAATCCTATCTATAGCAACAATGTGTACTCTATGGATGGAAACTCCTCTTTAGGCAGAGGCTAAATCCATGCCAACACCACCTTGTACAGTATTGTTATTTTGCTTTTCATCGCCTGGCCTCTGGGTTGTGTCATTTTTACTGAATGAAGAATGCAAACAAGTCGACAGGTAGGTATGGAAAATGGATGGACACCTTGTACAAGGATTGAAGTAAGTTGGCCTAGAAGCTAAGGCTCCAATATCGTCCATTTTATGGCAAATCCTACTACAACTGCAGCCATTGCTAATCCTTCAACCGTTCCATTGATGGCAAAGTTCATTTTAGTTGATCGTCTTTTGCCTTACCTGCTTAATCGCGTCTAACAATCGATCTCTTAAATGTTTTCGTTCACTCTCATACCCTAATCAAGAAATGAAACCATCATCATCGCTATGGATAAGTTGATTTTATTGAGACGTTAGTACAATCTACCACCACTTACTGTCCATAGGGAAATATTTAGGAATTGCAACGGTGTTTAATCGGCAAGTGATTGTTGGATAGCTTGGACATTAGGTATTTATTTAGGGGACCTTGAAAGATCTTCAAGGCTAGATGATTCGTCTCCACTGGCTTGGAACGGTAGATGACGTTACGTGCTCATTGGTACGGCAAGACAATAGAGAAGATCCGTTACGGTCCACTTTCGTAGACAGTCTACTGTTTCATACAATGCTCGATAGGACTAGGCTACAGTAGGACAATGACAGTGGGGATCGATTGACAGACACTAAGACGATTTCTGGGGAATTGGAGGGTTGGAATTTGGTGGGAGGGTGCTGTCATCATCCCAGTTCTCGACAGTCTACTGTTTCATACAGTAATCACGGAGACAGACTATTGTATACACTCTGATCAACGGAGTCTTTTCTTGACTCAGTTTTGCAAGCGGAACCTGCTGGGTTCTACAGGAATTGTCCGTCCGTCTTATTGATGCAAGGCTTAGCAAGGCCGGTGGTTCTCCATCATTGAATGAAGCAGACGTCCTTTTATCAACGGTTAAGGGACGAACGATTTCATTTTCATCCATTCAACATCCATTAACTTGTATACCTTGAAGCCTAGATGGCCATCATTGCTGATAGCAGTATAAGCTTTTGTATGGGAATAGGCGTGATATCGCATGAATAAGTCACCATTCCATACAGTTCATACAGTTCATACTGGACAAGGAGTAGCGAAGCCAAAGTGCTGTACTGTACTGTAGACTATGGTTTGATACGGTCAGACAGACTGACAGAAGCCAACAATCAAAACAAATCGCTGTTCAGATACTTCTAGAGACTGGTATGACACTGAGTAGTGGTGGGCTATTCCATGCTTAGCCTTTTCAGGGCTTTTTCAACTCTTTCTATATGACCAAACAAAAGTTAGGGGGGGGGCGAGACAAAAATGAAGCCAAATTTCTTCTTTGAGTAGTCCCCGCATAGCATTTCCTGTCATGGTGGACTACTCCATATTATTAGGGAGTCTACGATACCGGTCTGGCACTGTCAGACAGACTGACAGAAGCCAACAATCAAAACAACTCGCTGTTCAAATGCAGTACTTCTAGGGACTAGTATGGCATTGGGTAGTCCAACTACTCAGTATTACTAGAGAGTCTTAACGTGCCAAACAGACAGACTGACAGAAGCCAAAAAACCAACCAAACTTGTCACCGTTGGAATACTTCTAGGGACTGGTATGACATTGAGTAGGGCACTGCCAAACAGACAGACTGACAGAAGCCCAAAATCCCAACTAGTCACCGTTGGAATACTTCTAGGGACTGGTATGGCACTGCCAAACAGACAGACTGACAGAAGCCCAAAATCCAAACTAGTCACCGTTGGAGTACTTGTAGGGACTGGTATGACATTAGAGAGTCTAAAAACGGTACTGGAAATGGAATAGTCTGACACTGCCAAAAAAGACTGACAGAAGCCCAAAATCAATGAAAATAAGCGCTGTTTCAATACTTCTAGGGACTAATGTTGCATGGAATAGTGGACTATTTCATACTTAGTCTTTTCAGGACTTTTGAAACTCTTTCTACGTGAGCAAAAGCAAGTTAAGGCGGGGAATCCCGCCTTCGAGTCGAGTTCAAATCGGGTTTCGGGTTGATTTTGCAACAGGATATTGAGTAAAGGCTGTAAAAGGAATACAGGGAATGCATGGACTATTCCATACGAGCGACTAGTATTGAATAGCATTGAGGAATCCATGGTAGAAATGTCCCTTTGCAAAAGAGAGTGACAGCTAGGGATTTAGGATTGCAGGTGTCTGGAGTCAGTCTGCTCACTGGTCAAGTGGTCATAGACTACTCCAAATTTGCACCAAAAAGTTTTGCAGTAGTCCATGGCCAATACTATATGGCCATGGAACAGGGAGTGGCACAGCCTGGACTATGATACTATCTACTATACTGTCCATTGACAGTATAGTAGAATCAATCGCCAGCAAAATAAATTGATGCCGCAGTAGTGGATGCCTGTATCCAAACTGCCATTTCAAGCTGTATATTCCCATCCAATTCATGCATTGCCGTCGATCCAGGCTGTAGTCGATGGCTAGCAGTTAAGAAAGTTGTGCATCCGATATTCATGATTGTAAAGCCAGGAATAGATTGCCAACGTTCCTCTTCAATTTCAACACATTTTAGCTGCACGACACTGCAATTGTAGGATCCAAATTAAGCTACAATACACGATTGAGCAGCGATGTTGCGATCGTCCTTGTGATCTCGCTCGTTTCCACTTTGCAAACTGCGACTTGGTTGCTTATTTTAGTCCTCCACTGGTAGATAAATGGCAGGTATATCGATCAAAGAGAATAGACCTTGGATTCAAATGCACAGCACCGATTGAATTCTCCTGCTCGTTGATAGAGATACAAGACAACCAAGGGTAGATACTCTCTGAATTGATTTGATTGGACGTATATCGTCAAGCCGTGAGCTGATTGCGCCAGACAAGAAAGCCATCATGCAGATGCTGCAATGACAACATGTCAGTCTTTGGTAAAAAATTATGCTTGAAATTAAAACGTAAAAGATCAGACAGTAGCGCCAATACCATAATTGCATATGATAAAAGATCACGCGATAACGATAAAGAGCATCAGCAAGATAATCATGGTCAGCGGAGCAGCGCTTATACGAGTGTGGAACATTTTTCACATCAAGGAGAGAACAAGCAATCATCATTGCCTTGCTACTGTGGCTTAGTCAATGATGCCAATAACTGCTATATTAGTTGTATCATTCAAGCGTTGAGATTGTCTACCCATTTCGTTGCCATTATCAATACTGTTTATGATTCCTTTTCTAAAGATGAGGTAAGAAATGGGCTACACCTTCGCACTACTATACGAGTATGAATAACATGCTGCTAATTTCCTATGACCTGAATA